AACAACAACAACTATATGATGATGAAGCCGTATGTTAATGATCCCGATAGAACGGCTGCAGGCATTGATCTGAGAAACTTGTGAAGTGGCACATAACAACCTCGTAAACCATTCTCTCTATTACATCGTTCCCGTCTGTTTGTTAGCCGTCTTCTTATTGTGTTATATTGTTTCTTCTGTGGTCACGACCTCACTGCTTACATTTTTATGCTGAATTAATTGTCTATATTTCGTTAAACACGTGATTAAACTCTTTGACCTCCGCTGGTTAATGTAAATGACGACAACGTGGAAAATAACCCTATGAAATGGGCAATTAATTATCTGAGATTTTTATGTTGAGGTATGGTATTACTTCTGTGGTTGAAAATAAAAGCAGATTGAATACATCAGTTTTTTAATCTTCCTAAAATGCACACTCTAACGATTTTTAATTCATTACTTTTAGCGTAATATAGACAATCTTAGTAACATAAATCCGAAAGTGCAGATGGGTGGAGGGATGGATGTCTGTTAGGGTTTGTAGCCAAAACTGCTGAATGGATCTCTACGAAATCTGGCACAAATGTAGAGGATACTCTGAAATAGCACATAGACTACTTACATTTGTTTTTTTTAATTACACGCGGACGGAGTCGCTGGCGAATGCTAGTGATATAATAAAGATTACGTTAGGCGCATCGCACAAGAACATTAACGAGGCTTTTAATTTAAACGACAGACTATTATTTAAGTATCAATTAATACATATCTTGAAAAAAAACGCTGAAATTCATTGAACAACACGAGTTTTGATAACTTTAAACTAATTTAATCCTAGTCGTATTCCTGAACTATGTATTTATTTATTGGAAAGATACACCAATTGCATGTTCAAAGTTTACAACCAAATTAATATAACTACTGTAGACAATAAAAAACAAAAAAAAGCAGAAGAACATACAGATGACTGGCGTATCTAAGTGAACACCACAAAGAAACATTCCTAGGTATTTTTTTAAATTGACTACTCGTCGATAAGAAATGCAGTCCAAATTAAAAACGTTTGCAGACAGACTTATTTAAGTGTAGATAACGAAAACGTAGGATGCTCGTTGTTCATAAACATTAGTTTGGAGTGATCGAGCGGTCGCTATCAAAAGTTCTCGGAATATAAAATAATGAAAACTATTTATATAATAAGTGTAATTGCGTTACTGGCAGTTGTGCCAACTACACACGGACATTTGGATGAACTTCTTATCGGTCTCGGCAATATGGTGAGAGGGATCAAACAAAGAATTTTCGGAGTTCCTTACCCTGTTAACAGGAACCCATATAATGACCCTTATTACAGTGATGTATACAGACTGCAGCAAGAGAACGAATATTTAAAGCGACAATACGCGGCTATGGTGCACAGGGATCGCAAACCCGAGGAGATACACGTCCACAACAACAACTATATGATGATGAAGTCAAATAATGATGATCCCGATAGAACGGCTATAGGCATTGATCTGAGAAGCTTGTGAAGCGGCACAAAACATCCTCGTCATAGACCATTCTCCTTGAACGTTAAAAGAAGATAAGAAACAAAGTGAGAGTTACAAGAATTCATAACTTTAAAAGGAAAAATCACGGTTGCATTTACTATCTATATGTACTAAATAAATTGGTGATTTAATAATCTTTTGCTCATTGTGTAATGTATTTTTTAAATTAGCTTTCACTAGCGTCATTGGCGTATGTGTTTTTCCAGAATATCCTCTACATCTATGCCGAATTTGATCGAGATCCGTTCGGCTACACACTCTAACAAACATCCATCTATCCACACATTTTTTTATGCTTGTTTGTACCCATCGAACTTTCGCATTTATAATATTAGTAAAAAGATAAGGATGTCATGTATTTACCAATAAAAGTAATGGAAATGAATCAGTTTTTTTTATGAATTCTTCTGCAATACACACTTCATGTTCGAACGTCAATTGCCGTTTTGTAATAGTTTCCTATTTATATTGATTCAATGTTAATATTACAAACGATGGACACAAAGAGATTTAAACCTTAAGTTGGTAGACATTTATTTGACTATAACAATAATAGCACATAACCCTAATGAGCCAAGATGTCTAGAAAATTTTTTTAATGTATCTCTACAGATACACTAACAAGAAAAGGAAAGAGTACATCTATTTAATCTCTCCACTTTGTTCACGTGGAATTTAAAATTATCGCCTATGTTACTCAGTGATAACATAGCTTATTTGAATTGAATGGTTTTTTTTAAATTGGCCCAGTAATTTTCGAGTTATTTCAATACATTCAAATATACAAATCTTTCTTCTTTATATGATATTATTTAACACTATATGGTACTCTAGCAATTCTGCAAACTGACAATAAGGTAATTTATTAACGAAATTAATCAATAATTTAAATTATTTGGAGGACGAAAACCCGGTGTGTCGACTCTGCGGCAATAGGATAGGGTAGGGTAGGGTAGGGGAGATTATAATGAACCTAGAAACTACTTCAAAAGGTATGAGTATTCAATGTTATATTAGAATTTTATAAAATTAGCAGGATATTTTTTTAGACAATTAAGACATTGCCAAAATAGTTTTGTTAAATAATTTATCTTAGGAATATTATACAATTTCTAGTTTTCATATATTAACGGTAACATAAATATAATAATATACAAATCTGATTTACCGAGGTCAGTACATCGACTCGCTTCTCGTGGTAATTCCATTGTATTTACCACAATTATCAATACTGACCTAAGGTTATCAAACACACATAGTGTTTAAATTAAGCTTGTATTTGAATCGTGTTTTTACGAAAAATGTATTTTGTGTTACAGTTAGTTTAATTATAATAGAACTGGCACTTTTTATCATTTTAATGAAAAATTAAAAAGCAAACGATAATTTAAGGTGCAATATGACACAAACAAAACAAAAATTACCAATAAAACTCTTTAATTATTATAAGCACCGCTGCATCTTTAAGATAGATATTTTAATAGTACAAGATATACAAGTGTTTCGTCATCGCACGACACGACAGACTACCAGACAGGTACCATTCTCACCATCTCGTTGAATGGCATTCCACACCAGTGCAGTTTTCGCGGAACTTTCTGCCTCTGTCTCGTCTGTCCTCGGCGGTATTTCCAAACCAACATGACTCAGGGTCCATCAAGAAGCGAGTCTACCATTTCCTCAAAGGCCGGCAACGCCATGTCCATCGGTGTCGTTTATCACCTCTATTCTCGCCGCTTGTTTGTCCCCTTTTATTAAAAAGAAGAAAGCAACAAAAATAGTTCAATACGTTATAAAGAAAAGTGGTAAATGAATCATAAAGAAAATATCGGAGAGCAAAGGCAACAAAGCCACCGAGTATATTGCCAGGCTTTAGTGGCGCATCGTGATATATGAAGAACAATAAAATAAATTGGATAGAGCGGGAAATGCGGCCTCCACATCACAACTAGTTAACTATAAGCTATAATAAACAAGATGTCTATTGTACATAGGTAATATTACAACAAAACAGCCTCTAATCCTACTTAATAGTAAAAAAATACTACACTATTGTTTTAAACACGTTGTAGTTAATTTTGTTTAAACGTAGCAATAGTTTCTCTAATATATAAAACCGCAGAAAACAGTTAGCTTGAAATAAATGAAAATAAATCCTTCCTTTGTTAAATTTAAACGGTATTTAACTAACGACGCCATGTTTTATCCTGCTATTTTAAAAGTTTAATTGCGACGGGGATGACATTAAAACTTTTTTTAAATTGTTTGGACAATATTCACGAATTTTTAAAAAAAAATGATCTTATGCTTCTTGATTGACTAAGTTTAAGGTGGTTTACGGCCGCGTATTGAAACGGATCATAAACAATTTGCATCATAAGCGTTCGCAACCAGATAGGCGACAAAATTGTAATAGAACTTGGAGGTTAATCGTCGCCTTAAGACGCTGTTATATTTAAATATTGACATTCGGGTCATGGTAATTTTTAAGTTGTTAACTTATTAACTAATTCGAGTTTTAATTTCATCTCTGCAAATGTGAAAATCGAATTGAACTTGTGTTTACTTGTTCCCCATTGAACTGTTTACTCGAACACATACCCTAGTGAGAAGTCGTTGTTAAAAGAACTGGAAAATAACTTTTGGAATCAGAAATAACCTCTTTTCAGACGCATCATTTATTTGAAGGAGTCTCATTAACATCTGTTGATTTATTTCCTTATCTCCTAAATGAATTGGTTCTTTCCTGAGATTAACTGTCGTACTCAGAGATCTAAAATGTTCTTGTCCCACATAGTGACGGGGATTGTATGCGCCTTAATCCGAAGAACAAGAAGAAGTTAATATCTATTTTAAATTTTACAATTCTCTAGAAAGGGGGGAGCTCCACCGCTACTTCCCCTGTTAACGCCCATGTCAGAGACCTTAGCATAAGATAAGGCGGCAGAATTTATATAAAACAAATCGATCGTATCATATTCGTACTTTACAGTCGTCAATTGGTCGGTATCACGAGCTCTTTTAATATATAAAAAATGAAATCAATTTATTTAATAAGTGTTATAGCTTTGCTAATTGTGCCAATTGCACACGCACATTTGGACGAACTTCTTTTTGGCATCGGTAATACCGTGAGAGGTATGCAGCAGAAATTCGGTTTCGGGTTATCTTTGGGTTTCAACGGACACCCCAATAATGGATACCCTTATGATAGCTACAGTGATGCGTACAGGCTGCAGCAAGAGAATGAATATTTAAGGCGACAATACGAAGCTATGGTGCACAGGGACCGCAGACCTGACGCTGAACAGATACACGTGCATAACAACAATTATATGGTGATGAACCCATATGGTGTATATACTAGCGACCCAACACAACAAGGCTGACAAGCAAGTTCTGATGATGGTACGCAAGGTAAGGTCTTGTAAGCACAAGCATTACACTCCATTGCATGAATAAAAGTGAAATTGTTATTGATAAAATTCCAAAATGAAATGTCAAACAAAAGTATAAATATTTTAAAAAAATCAATAATTATTTCTTATTAATTCCACATTGATAACATAGATGTGGATTTATTATGTGTAATACATAAATATTATATTAAAAAGTTAAAAAAAAGGACGTGTGTTTATTTTATAAAGTTTTAAATAGGATACGCAGTACTGTATTGTTTATAACTTGTCTGACAATGTGCAGATAGCCTAATAGTTAAAGGTACAAGTTTCCGATCATCTACATCCGATACAGTTGGAACATCTATTCATCCATACAAACTTTCGCATTTGTAATATTAGTAAGATAAGAAATATGACAGAAACTTGATAGTTAATTCGCTCGAGAAAAGATAACAATATCGTTCGGTATTACCGATGTGTTTACCACTATCATAAAAAAAATAACCTTAGAACACTATATCCATACTAACATATTACATTCGAAGAGATTTTTACACCTTTTATTCTAAGTATTAAATTTTATTAAGAAAACATTAGCACTTATAAAATAGGTAAAAATATCCCAAAACAAAACTGTTCCCCAGGATCCAAGTTTATTGTACAAGGGACTGCATTTCTTGGTACACATTCAACATATGAAAATTAAAACTAACCATGCAAAAAAATTGTTAATGTTGGTAGTAAAAAATATTACATTGAATACAATCCCATAAAAGTATCTGAAGTTAAAAATATTATGGCTTTTGTGATACTGAACAAAAGCTGGAAACATCTTTTGAGACACGCTGATGGTATAGTGCTTTGTGTTGATTGAAATAGTAGAGTATTGTTTTAAGTTGCACTGCTTCTGCCGGCTTTCGTTAACGTTATCTTACTTCTTACTACTATAACAGATAGAGGATATGAGGGACTCTACCTACCCAACTTTAAGACCAGGCCATATTAAACTACTGCCTACTGCGTATTTGTTGACTTCATACATATCTTTCTTCTTCGCGGATATGTGCAGGTTGCATCACGATGTTTTCCTTCACCGTAAGAATACCGGGGAAATTGTAACCATATGAAATTCGAAAATCATATTGATTCATGGTGGAATTCGAACTTAGGACCTATAGATTACAATTCAAGTGCACCCCCTGAGCCCTGAGAAACCCCTGAGCTTCCGACGCTATTAAGCTGATAATAGGTCAAGTAAAAATTAGACTTTTTATAGGGGAAGAAGAAAAGGAGGAAAGGAATAGGAAAGGCCATGACTGTAAAAAACTAAAATGATACTTTCATCGGTATTTGTGAGTCTGCTGATACTGTTTCAAAGAGTCGTAATGAGATTTTAATGTAACACCTTGGGCGACAATCGCATTTGAATTATTCACACGAGGAGAGTTCGAGTTAGGGTTGTCGCATCTTCGCGCCACCATCGTGTGTTTTCGAGATACCTTAGAATTATTTACGACGATGGATAATGATTATGGACGTCAATATTTATTACAAATACTTGTAGAGTGTGTAGGTTTTTTTTCATTTGCTAAAGATGAAGGATGAACATCGTTTTCTTAATTTGCCATAATATCAAGGGTTGACAACTGGTCTTCATTTTCCTTGTTGACAGCCCTAGCTTGAGTGGAATAGGTTCGCTCGATTTATTCACAGCTTACGGAACACAGTACGCATGGTATTTGAAACGACTCTCTTACTAAAGAAACAGGATTATTGCAAAAGCCTTTCTATTAGAACCACTGCCTACGCCTCTACAACACAACCGTGAATGTTTGTCTTCATTTTTATTTATTCGTACTGAAATTTCTAACATGTAAATAAATACAACGTAAGAGAAGAACTATTTTTCCGTTAGCTACAAATTAATTTTGAAAGCTAATCCTGTAAACGTAAGTATGAGTTTATACCTAATTTTCCGTATCAGTTAATTTTACGGTGTTGTTACAATAATTCGCATATTAAGGGATCATAATTTGATTAAGAGTAAGTGATCAATGCATGTCAATGCTAGATAAGAATTGATAGCTGTGCAACGACAGCCAGGGGATATTGATCGATGGACGGCAGCTATAGGTAATGGTTTACGTGCAACGCTTTGCTGCGATACTCAAGCTTTCTATATCCATATATTCTTTAATTTACTTATCGTATGTTCACGAAGAAAGCATTTTTTATATCAATTTCCGATTGCATTAACAAGTAGCTTTCGTATATTTTGGAAACGATGACATACGTGGCAATAAATGCATATAATAAAGTTTTCCATCTCAAGAGAGTCAAACTCGAGTCGCAGATCTCAGGTGCACAGATAAAATATTAACAAATACATCCGCACCGCAAGTATTACGTTCGCAAACACTTATAAAAGTTCCCGCGAACCCACGGAAGTGCTTCGTAACTTTGCAAAGTCGCAAACATGGCCGCCGTTTGTCATGCCGCGCGACACCGTGTCAACTTAACTACTTAAGGACAGTTACTAACTTCTTTTATATTTGAATTATTTATTTAAATACTAGATTTTGACTGCGACTCCGTCCGTGTGGAATTAAAAAAAAGTGACCTATGTGTTCTTCCAGACTATCCTCTACGTCTATGCCAAATTTCATCGAGATCTGTTCAGCCGATTATGCTCCAAACTCCAACAAATATCCACCCATCTAAACTTTCGCATTTATAACGTTAGCAAGATAAGTAGTTGATTTTTTATTCTTTTCAAAGAAGATTCAATTACATACGCTATGTCGGACGTTGTGCCATGGTACACGTACATAGAAAGATGCACCCAGCATTTAAATTGGCATCGCGTCGGGATGAAGTGCGAACTACAGCAAGAACCTACTGGCTGGTACAGAGCTGTGTGCCATTGGAACTGCATTGTAATGGAATATAACAGCTTGAAATAAACCAGACGATGCAACATCGTCACTAGAGATCGGCGCATTAAATAATTCGTGCGCTGCGCGAATGTGGCGCCCTCCCAGAGGAAGGTAAGTACGGATCTATTTAGTCCTAAATCTAGACATTTGAAATAGAACACATTCCCAAATTATACTCGTATAAGTTGAGTTGGTATACTCGTATACCTAATTGCTAGATTATTCAAAACAGCCACTAGTAAAATTGGAATACACAAATCGTTAATTACGACAAGTATTTAGGTATGAAAATAATTGGAGTTTCAAAGTTTTTGTTGTCAAAAATATTTGTTAATTTTTAAATTTGTCGCCCTGTTCCTATCAAAGATTTCAATTTATATTTGAATAACGTTTCACGATAACTTCTGTAACTATTTGTTGAACTTTCACCAAGTTGGACAATACAGCTTTTATTCACAACACAAAATTCACAGTTAATATTTCAATAGGAAAACTTTGTGCTCGTGAACTACGAGGTTAGGTTGAGGTGGTGACGTCGCCAAGTGTCACATAAACTAGAACAATAGGAACAAAATATTTCGGGAACCGAGCACACGAACTGACAAGGTATCAATAGATAAATTTATAGCTAGCATTGTCACGCAATACGAGAATGTATGGCTAGAAAAATATAACAAAACCGTAACTACATTTTACGAAAATCTTTAAAAAAAATACTGAAGTAAACTTATCTACAACTGAATTTAAAAAGAAGTGATCACACTTGAATGCAATAATTTGTAATGAATTAGCAAGCTAGACTTATACGTCGGGTTTTTACCGTATTAACTTCCGTTTTTACGTGGGATTTCTATAATCAAGAACCGATCCAACGTTATTACAGCGTTGTTTGAATTGATGGATGTTTGTTAGAATTTTTAGCCTAAACTGCTGAATAAATCTCGATTAAATTTGACATAGATATAGAACATAGAAGTTACACTTACTTATATATAGTTATACTTACTTTTTTTGTTTCGCACTGACAGAGTCGGGGGACAAAGCTAGTATTCATATATTTCATCAGAGTTAATAGAAATAAATACAAAGAGCATATTCAGGTTCAGTTCTCGAAGGATGCTTGAGTAAAAATGTGTCGGGCGAGTGCGTTCTCTTGTACCGTAGCGCGAGTTAGTTGCCATCAGTCTGAGCAAATACCAAAAGATCTTCATGTTATAATATGAGCTTTTAAACTTATTATAAGAGTTTAGTCGACAGCCGACAGCCGCAGCCAGCAACCCTTGTTATCTCCATCGCATAACAATTTATAGTGCCGAAAAAAGCCATACGTAAGAACCACAATCAACAAATACGTTTAAACAAAGCGGTTAGTTAGCTCCAGTCTTATTTTGACATCACTCGTAGTTAATCATGTATAACACTTTAAAACCTCTTTTCAGTTTGTTCAACTTTCTAAATCAAAATTAGACAAGAAATTGTTTGTCTGTTTAGAACCATTTTTACAGTTGTAACGCTGAATATTTCTCTCATGCGATAAAATGATTGGCGATTTAAATTCCGTGCTCGTTTCTGGGCAGGTATACAAATATAAGTCTATTTGTCCTGATGTTATTCGATTTGTGTTGGGAATTTCCGCTCGATCAAGCAGATGTCTGAGTGAGCCGATGTTGGGACAAGATTTACAGATATCCAGTGAAGTACCGACAGCATTGACGTATTACACAATAATACTGCCTGCGAAAAATTGAATAGTTTATTCTTAATTATAGCTGTAATCTAAGTTATTCTTTTTTTTAATAAATTAGTTATGTTAATGATTGCAAATAGCAGAATATAAAAAATAATTTTGATTGATATTTGTAAAAAGTATGATTTGAAAAAAAAAAATATATCTTTACTATTTCATTAAAAATAATATCTGTTTTTGAATCTTTCTTGAAATGCTTATGCAGACAGAATTAAACTCAACAATTAAATTTTCGGCTATACGTTTACTTTATTTGCAAACTGTACGCATTTTTTAAATTTTATTTAAGTCGTAGAGTACATTTTCTCGACCGCGATCTCCACAAATATTTTTAACGAATAGACTAAGAGCTAAACCTGCTTTATCTTTTTCTATACACAATTTTGTATTCTCTATTTTTTCGTTATTTCGCTCCTCGTCGTTAACATACTTAAAAGATTTTAAAAACTATTAATAGATTGCAGAAGGGTTGCGCTAGCGAATTGTAAAGCAGCACATAAATAATTCCAGGGAGTGCACCTCATCGTCTGACGCT